TGCTAATGATCCAAAATTAATAAATGACCTGCCCAAAGAAAAGCTTAGCCCAGTGAATTCTCTGGATATTTCCGATGACGCCTCGACAAAAACACTTGGAATACGTTGGAACATTGCTGGAGACTTTTTCAATTTCACTCCACCCTCAATGGACATTAAAAGAGCTTATACAAAAAGGGAAGTTCTCTCAACAATTGCCAAATTATTCGACCCATGTGGGTGGCTTGCTCCCGTTGTAGTAACCGCCAAACTAGTTATGCAACAAATTTGGCTTGATAAGATAAACTGGGATGACACTCTGAAAACAATGACACTTCTGAACTGGCAAAACTTTGTTAAACATAGCGCAGATATTAAGCATTTAAAAGTCCCAAGGTGGATCAATTACTCCAAAAATAGTGTTGTAGAAATTCATGGATTCTGCGATGCCTCGGAAAAAGCATATGCAGCAGCATTATATATCCGACTACAGAATGAAGACAACGAAATCAAAACGTCATTGCTTACTGCAAAAACAAGAGTTGCTCCAATCAAAAAAATTTCACTTCCCAGATTAGAACTTTGTGGAGCCGTCCTATTGGCGAAGTTAGCATCAACAATATTGAACAATCTCCAGATATCAAACTTTTCGGTTCATTACTGGACAGACTCAACAATCGTGCTGGCTTGGTTGAAAAAACCACCTTGCCATTGGTCAGCCTTTGTGGGAAATCGTACATCTGATATCTTAGAAAATAGTGGAGCCGAACAATGGAATCACGTAGACTCTGAGGATAACCCCGCAGACATTGCCAGTCGCGGATGCCCACCTAGCGAACTTATAAACAACACACTCTGGTGGCATGGACCGCAATGGCTCAAAATACCTAAAGTTCGTTGGCCAGCACATATAATTCCCGATGATACAAACTTAGAAGCAAAAACACTAAAAGCACTGACTCTATTCGAAGAAGAAAGTGACCCTCTAAACAATTACTCATTTTTAACAAGGGTTTACAGATCATATGCATATGCGTTAAGATTTTGGAAAAACACTGGAATAAATAGACGAAATCTTAGAACCTCTTCAATGGAACTCACCGCTGAAGAAATTCAGGATGGTAAACGTGCTTGCATAATTCATACCCAGAAATTCTTTTACGCAGCCGACTATGAATCACTTGAAAGGAAAGTTCGAATATCGTCTTCTAGTTCATTACTGACACTCAATCCTTTTTTGGACTCAAAAGGGATCATGAGATCTAATGGCCGATTAGTACAATCGCCTGCGCTAACTTACAATGAACGGCATCCAATAATACTCCCACATGGAGCAATATTAAGCAAACTATTAGTAGATTTTGCTCACAAGATCACATTGCACGGCGGTAATCAGTTGGTGACCAGATTATTAAGGTCCGAGTTCTGGATATTCGGACTAAAATCGTTGGTTAAACAAATAATACGTAATTGCAAAATATGCTTAATTTACAAGAAACGCACACAGAATCAAATAATGGCATCACTACCTCCTGAACGAACTCTCTTGGCAAGACCCTTTATGAATACAGGCGTAGATTTTGCGGGACCCTTCAATATTAAAAGTTATTCTGGCAGAGCCTGCTTCATTACGAGAGGTTATGTCTGTTTGTTTGTTTGCTTCGCTACCAAAGCCATTCATTTGGAACCCACAAGTGACTTGTCGACATATGCCTTTCTTGCCGCTTTTTCTAGATTTATTAGCCGACGGGGCTGTCCGTCGTGTATCTACTCCGATAACGGGACCAATTTTGTGGGAGCAGTTGATCTGTTAAAGCGGGATCGACTAGCCTTCATGAAAAATATACAAAATAGTACAGTTCAAAACAATTTTCATCAAAATATTAGTTGGAAATTTATCCCGCCTGGCGCTCCGCACATGGGTGGCTTGTGGGAGGCCGGGGTTAAATCCTTTAAAAATCATTTAAGAAAAAGCATGCCAAAAATGAACTTTACTTTCGAAGAATTCACTACAATTTTAACCCGCATAGAGGCATGTCTTAACTCTAGACCCTTGAGTCCAGCTAGCGAAGATCCTAACGATTTGGCGCCTTTAACCCCAGGTCATTTCTTAATCGGTACCGCGATTTTAGCTCCGCCCGAACCCGACGTTTCTGATCAAGATATTAGTCTGGTTAATAGATGGAAAAGGTTAAAAATAATCTCCCAATATTTGTGTAATCGATGGAAGGTTGAATATTTACATGAGCTTCATCGACGTACGAAATGGAAATATCAAAAGGATAACCTTAAAGAAGGTGACTTAGTTGTGATTAAAGACGAACGTTTGGCACCAAATGAGTGGAAACTCGGGAGAATTATCAAGACCCATCAGGGAACAGATCAAAATGTTAGAGTAGTAGACATAAAAACTGCTGGTGGCAACATCAGCCGACCCATAACGAAGGTTGTCAAGTTATTTTCCGACTAATTAGTCGGACCCCTCCTTTCAAAAAGAATTAGTACTCCTTCTTCTCTTTTTCACAGATGGCAGCATATTTACCAGTCCAGAATTGGAGAGACGAAGAGAGCCCAAGACGCCCTGAAAGGAGAGAATCCCGTCGCTTAATTTCAGAAAGAAGCCCGCAACGCCCCGACCGCAACCCACATCCACCAGAAGCCCACCCAGCCCGCGAACCAGCACCAGTACCCAATAGAAGCAACCCAGCCCGACACTTCGAACGCCGCCCGAGTCCTGATCGCAGTCACCGTAGCCGTTCTGAAAATAGACCAGCCCCCAGAGCTAGAGGAGCACGGCCAGGCCATTGGCAATACTCCTGCGGACTGTGTCAGCAGGACCATGCTCTGAGCTCGTGCCAGCGGTTTAAAGACCAAAGTCCGTATCAGAGATACGAAACCACTGAGCGGCGGGGATACTGTCGAAACTGTCTGGCACGATCGCATTTGGCCCCCGATTGTCCATGCATTACGGGTTGCCGACGATGCGATTATCGACACCACACCATGCTACATGGGGCGCCACAGCTCGAGGATAGCCTACAGCCCGCTCAAATAAACGAGCCGCCTTTTTCGTGGGATCTCGTCTTTGTACCCACTGTCATGCTGCGAGTTACCACCGAAGATATAGACACCCACTATACGATACGGGCGTTGCTGAGTAAGTCAGCTGTAATGTCCCGCATAGGGTACTCTACCTTCCAACGGATGGGTCTGAGGTCATTTTTATACCAAGATCGTCGTTTTACGACCTTCAAAATAATGAGCCGGCGATCTAATTCAACATGGGCGCTGAAGGTCAATGCTCTTGTGACAGATGAGCTGCCGAGACGAATTTATTCAGACCCCATACTAGATGACCCAACCTCATATTTTACTGAGCAAGCACTTGCGGACCCAGACCCTAGAAGCAATGTACCCATAGACTTGGAATTAGGCGCAGACACGTATTCTGCCATAAGAAAAGATGGATGTACCGCGGCTGGAGTGGGTGATGTTCAGGCGTACAACACTAACCTGGGATATGTCTTCGCTGGACCAATTAGGAACATGCCATCGATGTAAAAAGACGCATATTAGCACGGAGTCATGGGGGCGGAGAATGTATGGTCAGTGACCATACTTTTGGTCGCTACTGTGCGTTTGAATTTTAAATTTTTCGGCTAGCGGTACACAATATGTACATTGGTGCATATTAACAAATACATGCATACGTGCTGCCGCTAGCCAAGCACTTTCCAATAAATCCTGGAATATTCAACAGCTCTGGCAGCCCAAAGCCAGAATATTCCCGGTCAGTTCGTCAAACATCTTGAGAGCGACAACATACAAATCGAGTGCCCCGTGAATCGACAAGTGCCCGCGAAAATCATCAAATCGAATCGTGAAGCAAACTAGTTAAAAATTAAATTTAAAATTACATTACACAGCATTACATTATAAAGAACAACATTAACATTGTACAAACACCAAAAAAATTGAATTACAACATTGTACACAATTAACATAAAACAAATTCTAAATTAGACAAATTAAGTTACAACAAACAAAATTATACACTAAACGAATCAAACATTTGTACATACACACAAACAACAAAGATTTGAATTACAATAAAACAACACATGAAATACAATTACAAATTAAATATCTAATAAATTATACAAAAAAAAGGAAAAAAGGTCAAAGGTAAAGTTAAAAACACCAGTCATAGCTCATTATATTGTTTTTCAAGCGTACAAAAGCATTTTGGTGAGAATTTTCCAGAAAAAAAGTTATTCATGATGGAATTCAAGCGTGATATCTTTATATTTGGCTGGAAAACCACTAGTAGCTATCGTTAGAGCACTCCAGCATTTAAATGTGAATAAATCCTTGTGTCTCGTATCATCTGACCCGACGTCAAGGAAGCGGAAGTGGACGGAAGAAAACAGCAACATTTCCTTAATAAGGCAAAACTCATCTGCAGAAATGGTTCGAAAAGTAATGAAGCGACTTTATCGAAACCCGAACTGCCGAATTTGTTTTTTTCCGATGAGAAAACATTCGTTGTGCAGCATTTTGTAAAGAAACAAAATGATCGTGTTTACTTGCCAAAGAGGTCAGGTGAAAATGCGCACCTTCGGTTGACCACCAGAACTCAAATGCCGGCCATGGTGATGGTGTGGGCCGCCATAAAAGCCGATGGTCTCTATCCGTTCGTATTAGTCGACCGTGATATCAGAATAAATGCCGAATATTATCGCGAAAATATTCTGGAGGGTATATTTAAGCCTTGGGCACGCAAACATTTTGGCCGTAGACCTTGGACATTCCAACAGGACTCAGCACCATCGCACTCAGCACGCACCACCCAAGATTGATTACAGAATAAGGTTTCTCGCTTCATGTCCAGCAATCAATGACCACCAAAATCTCCGGATACCAATCCGTTGGACTATTGTGTCTAGAGTATTTTGGAAAGCAAGGTTGGCACTAAAAAATACCAGTGTCGATCACCTCAAGCAAGCGTTTCGACTGGAATGGACCAAAATACCGCAGAGCAACATCGGGGCAGCGTGTGACGGTTTCATTGGCCGTTTGAAGGCCATAATTCAAGGTTACCAAATGTGACCAATTCGAACAAATTTAAATTTATTCTAAAATTTGATGCTATTTTCGAAATTTTTTGCTTTCATTCAATAAAATTTCAAAAAAACAAATTAAAAATTATGGCGTTTGAGTTTGTTTTTTTTTTATCTCACCCTGTATGTATTTTATAACTAATATATATCTGACCTTTATAGCTTTTTTAAGTAGGGCTTGAGATTTTCTACTCTGGAACATTTCCCACCCGGTTTTTCCAAACCTTTGTAAGTAGCCGGCCTTCGATTTCAAAGTCAATGTCTTCGGAACTATATATAGATACATCAACACGTGTGGCACCATTTTGGAAAGGCAAGAATGTAGTATGTGGAATTTTTTACCGCATAATGGGTCCATTTTCGAGATTTTAGCGGTTTTTCAAAAAGTTCCGGTATAAAAATACCAATTTTCTTGTATTGCTCCGGAACCGGTTCAATCAAATGATTTATCAGTTTTGTAGAACTGGATAAGAAAATTTGTATCTGAACTTTCGGGTCGAATAGCCGGGTAACAGTATATTTCTTCTACAAGAAAATTACTATCGGTTAAAAAATACCTACCTGCGAAAAAATGTTCAGATCAATCTGTGCATAGCCCCTTAACTCAATATAAGCTTTGTTTCATTTCCGAAAAATTTTCGGACATAATCCCCCGTGCAAACAGTCATACTCCCATGGCAATAATGTCCGTTTTGTAGGCGGACATAGTCGCCAGTTTATTATGGGAGTTACGACCAAAAATGGGAACACTGGGGCTCATGTCAGGGCACCTTGATTTCTTCCATTTGCTCATCTGACGTAATGCTTGTTTTTATAATTCGGATACTTCTTTTTTTTATTAATTTTTTCTCTTCAACTTTTGACCTTTTGTGGGGAAGGTACTTATAAGGACTGAACTGATATTGTCGATCTGAACTGATAACTCAATCTATGTTTTATACAAATATTACAATGTGCAGGATATCGCACTCATCAGTCAGAATTTTGACGAACATCGTTAGATCGTCTTCAAAAGTTCTTCAAAACAAATTTTGTCCAAAGAGGCCGTTGTATTGATGAGAGGTTTAATAAATACATCCTGGGGATCGAATTAATATATCCTACTTCTTATGGTGTAGATTTTAAAAAAATTAAATATAACCCAATCCAATATCTACCGAATGCACCCTAGATGTTGGAATACATTACCCAAAAACGTCCACTTAAGGAAATGATAGACACTTAAGGTGATGGAACCAGAGTGGCTGTTGTTTTGTTCGGTCGGAGGTGCTGCTGCTGATGCTGTTAATACTCTTGGCTTTGTTGCTAAAACGTTGATAATGCCGACGCTGCTGCGGCAGATGCTGATGAGGATGGTGTTGGCATTAGTGGTGCTCTGGCGTCTGGTTATTTTGTTGGCTGTCTGGTTGGTTGGTAGTTTGGCTGGTGTAATTTTTGTTGTTGTCTGTTGTTGATGTTGTTGTTGCTGAGAGGTCTCGTTGGCTAAGAAAGCTTCAGATCCATTGCAGTTTAGCAGCATTAAACAAAATTTAATCGCTGATAATACGGAATGTTGTAGTAATTAAATGAGGCATACGATGTGGCACTCGGTGATCTCAGCGCCGAGGTGGTGTAATACAAGGGACCTACAACGGAAAAAAAGAAAGAGGAGGAGGAGGAGAAGTGAAAAATATTTTATTTTATGGCAAAAAGAAGAAACAATATCTGAAGCAAACAATTTATTGTTAGTGGTTGTCATTACCAACACGTGACTGGGTTAAAACAAAGCGACAACAAAAAAGGTGCATCTCGTTGAGTTTAGCTGAAGCCGATGCTGTTGCTATAGCTGTGCAGTGCCAAGCCATAACACCCAGAAAGCAGTGCAAATAAATGATTAGCAAGTGTTGGAGAGTGTGTGTTTGTTCGATGTTGCCGTATCTGTAGCCGAGTAATTACGGAAATGCAAATGACTTGAAATACTGATGTAAATTGCCAACAGGTGTACCCACCACGGGTGTGGGTAATAAGCCAAGCTGGCTGTTTGTTAGGGATCAATAACACCTTACCCTAGCAACATTTGTTAGCTGATGTTGGCGGTGGTGGTGGTGGGGTGAAGAGCCCATATCTGTATTTATGGCATTCCGTTGAACTTCATTACTTCATACCTTATGGCAATAATCATAATTCTCACATTTTCTCCTTCATTTGCATACTCGTCCCGATCCGCTAATTGTTTATCGCGCAATCGGAACTGAGGTATTCATAACATGTGTCAATAATTACATACTTACATGGATAGCGTTTTTATGGTGAGTTTGGGTTTTTATTACAAAACATTAAAATTTGAAATGCTATTGCTTCAAGTTGGTAACAGAAATTCCCGGATGGTTTATATTCCTCGCAAAAAAAGGGTAGGTGGCCAGATGTTAGTGGGAAAAATAAAGGTATGGTAGCAAATTGTGTTACCCTCCACCATAGTATGGAGGGTATATTAAGTTTGTCATTCCGTTTGTAACACCTCGAAATATACATTTTAGACCGCACAAAGTATATATATTCTTGATCAGCATTAAAATTCTATGTCGATTTAGCAATCTCCGTCCGTATATCCGTCTGTGGTACCTCAATTTTTTCGTTATTTTGGTGATTTAAGCCACATTCTTTTCCGGAAATGTTTCAAATTAGGTATTTGAAGTTCGTAATGGATACTACAGCCTAAGACAGAAAATTGTCTGTGCAGGTCCATGTTTTGGTATAGCCCCCAAATTAAAAGGTTCCTCCCTATTTTTGGTATTTTGGTGATTTTAGCGACATTCTTCTCTGAAATTGTTTCAAATTTGGTATTTGAAGTTCGTAATGAATATTACAACCTCTCACAGAAAATTGTCTGTGCAGGTCTACGCCTTCGTATAGCACCCATACAATGGTACCTCCCTTTTTTCGTTATTTTGGTGATTTTAGCGACATTATTCACCGGAATGGTTTCGAATTTGATATTTGAAGTTCACAATGGATACTACAGCCTAAGACAGAAAATTGCCTGTGCAGGTCCACATCTTCGTATAGACCTCATATAACGGCACTTCCCGATATTCGGTACTTCGATGATTTTAGCGACATTATTCACCAGAATTATTTCAAATTAGGTATTTGAAGTTCGTAATGGATACTACAGCCTAAGAAAGAAAATTGCCTGTGCAGGTCCACATCTTCGTATAGACCTCATATAACGGCACTTCCCGATATTCGGTACTTCGATGGTTTTAACGACATTATTCACCAGAATTATTTCAAATTCGGTATTTGAAGTTCGTAATGGATACTACAGGATATGACAAAAAATTATCTGTGCAGGTCCACGTCTTGATATAGCCCCCCATATAATGGTACCTCCGTATGTTCAGTATTTTGATAATTTTGCCTACATTATTCACCGATTTTTTTCTTTTCAAATTTCGCATTTGAATATTGTAATGGCTTATGGTAAAAGTTGACTATGCAGGTCCATGTCTTCGTATGGACCCTAATATAACGTCTACATTCGGTATTTTTAAGATTTTAACAGAATTTTTAACGAATTTTAATGTTTTTGAGAATTGCCAAATTCGTTCCAATTGACGGAGGGTATTCAAAGTTCGGCCCGGCCGAACTTACAGCTTTTTTACTTTTTATACCCTACAACACTATGTGTTGGGGGTATTATAAGTTTGATTGGGCCAGAATTTATGTAACACCTCGAAATATTGGTTTCGCATATAGGAAAGTATATATAGATCTTCCTAGCTCGCCGAGCTGAGCCGATCTAGCTATGTATGTCCGTCCGTCCGTCTGTCCATGTTAATTTGTAATCACTCTACAGGTCGCAATTATGGCCCGATCTTCACGAAATTTTGCACGAAGGTGGGGATAGGGTCAGAATAGAACCCTATTTCTTTTGGAGATGATCGCATAATATTTAGGGGTTGAAATGGACCAAATACTGAAAAATTTCTTGATTTTCCAGATGCTCTACAGGTCGCAATTATAGACCAATCGACGCGGAATTTCACATGTAGCTAGAGTTTAGGGCGGGGAAGAAGCCTACCAATTTGGGTGGTAATCGGATAATATTTAGCGGGTAAAATAGACCATATCTTTTGAACCGCGAATATTTTAAATCCCGGCGAAATCACAAAGCCATGACAAGGTTACTTCTAATCTTTACATTGATGTTAACATCCAACAAATCGGATATACAGCAAAATATGTGCCATATATATGTCTATCAAAGAAGATATGCTTGAAAAATCTCTTATATGCCGAGAACGGTTGAACTGATTTCGACAGTTCTCATTAATTCAGAATGGCCTCTTGGCAGGAAAGAAAAAACGTCTAAAAAAATCGCATAAAAATATCTCTCTAAAGGTAAAAAATTTTAAAAATTTTGTCATATTTTTGGCATATTTTCATTTCGAATTAAACATTTGGTAATATTTCTACAGCTAACAAAACTTAGTAGTTAGGATATCAGAATATCATATGCAGATGGCATTTTGGGCCCGATTCTTACGAAATTTGGCATGGGGATAAGATGAGGGTCAGAATAGAAGCCTACTCTTTTTGGAGACGATCGCCATATATTTAGGGGTTGAAATGGTCCAAAAAACTGCAAAATTGTCAGCAGGTCGTAATTATCGCCCGACCCTCACGCACAACTTTTGTAGACAAAATACGAAAATGTCCATTCCAGAGTCTTTTTGGAGAATTCACAAATACAGGAAAGACGCACTTCTGACTATTTCGTTGAAGAATATAGTCAAATGTCTGTATCTAATATAGATGCGTTTCAGTCAAAAACCAATAATAAATGTTAATCTTTTGCCACTTCTGAGAGATTATAGGTCTTTGGGAAATATTGGTTCCAGATCTTGGAAGACCATTTACGTGCAACATTTACCAATAAATTGGAAATGAGGAAATTAGTTTAAGTTGCTATTATTCGAAAATTAGAGAACGAAACCTGATGGTTTTCTTTTATAATTTGTCTTGTGGAATTCTTTCGAGTATCTCTCCTATATAAACAGTATAATTTATTATAGTGTTGTAGGGTATTCAACGGGCGACCGCTCGACTGTAGCCTTTGCTTACTTGTTTACTTGTTATTTTTGGAAATTTGTACTATAATTGTACGAAAAGTAGTGAATGGAATGTGTGGAGGAAAGAGCTTGAATCCTTGAGTTTGACACTGAGGTCTCTGTTGGAAGCTGTATAAAAAGTACTAAATAGTAGTAAATTTGATATTTGGAGAAAAATAGAGCCGTAGTCCTGAACTTTGATATAGATGACACTTTTCGAGTCTGTAGTTAAGATATGGATGTGGTTTTAGAAATGTGTACGATAATTGTGCGAAGTGTTCTAAATAGTACTAAATTTGGTATTTGGGGAAGGAATTGAGTTAAAATCCTGAAATTTGATATAGATGTCACTGTCTATGTCTGTAATTAAGATAAGGAGGAGGTTTTGGAAAAGCATCCTATATTTTTACGAAAAATAGTAAATGGTACTAAGTTTGGTATTGGGAGAATGAACGGAACTGGAATCCTGAAATTTGATATAGATGTCACTGTTTTTATATGGGGTTTAGATATGGAGTAGGTTTTGTAAATGTGTACGATAATTGTGTGAAAAGTAAATAGTACTAAATTCGGTATATGATGAAGGAATAGAACTGAAATCCTGTAAGTTGATATAGATGTCAGCGTAGTTGTCTGCGGTTAAGACATGGAGACAAATATTACTAAATTTTGTTTTTCGTGAACGAATGGACCTGAAATCCCGAAATTTGATATTGTTTGTATCTTGTGTTGAGATCTGGCAGTGGTTAGGCAAATTTGTACTATAATTGTACGAAAAGTACTAAATAGTACTAAATTTGGAATTGGGTGAAGGGATAGGGCTGGAATCCTCAAATATGATATAGATGTCACATGTTGGTGTCTCATTTAAATTGCTATACATATTTTCAATGAAAAGAAATTTTTCCAACCCCTCAAAAAATTTTCGATCTATTTACTATTTCTCTATTCATTTTAACTTCACCAACGTCTCACTTTTTTCGTTTCCACTCGATTTGATTTTCACTTTCAAATTTACAGTTTGCTGAACTTTTTTTGTGTTTTCTTTCTTATTATATTTTGCAACAAAAAAAGGCTTGTCACCTTAAATAACGACAATAATTAAAATAAAAGGGGCGTGTGTGTGGCTTTGACTAACTGGTCTTGCAAATCGCTTAACTGGATTTTTTTTGTTTAGAATAAATTTATGTCATTACAGCAAACAATTAATCAACAGGTTTGCAAATTTTGTTCCGCAAAACACGAGAAACACGAATGCCATTGGCAACAGCAGGGGAAAATTGTCAAACAAAAAATAAAACTACCGCATATATTCTTACGTGTGTTTAAGCATGTGACAACTTCCTATTGGAACCCTCAAGGGGAAATGTCTGTTTGGTCGTTAAACAACTTTATTTTAGTGAATATGTTTCGAAAACTTGTAAAACAAAGGTTGTAGAATATTTCTAAATGACATGGATAGTCCGGAATGGAATCGTAGCAAATCAAAATATTCTACAAAACTATTTCTAGAAGTAAACAAGTAAGCAAAG